TGTTGGAATGTTTTGAACTTGTAAGTTAATGTGCTCTGTATACATGTACCTGTTAGCTAGGAAGGAAGACAGGGAGTATAAATTCCAATACAAATGGCAAATTATACAATTTATACAACATGCGTATATATACATGTACATATAACTGATTGTTAAAATATGGATTTCCATTTGAGAACGTCATTCTAACTTAGTCTTTTAAGGCATGGACGTGCATGCAGACGTTGTATTTAATATTATCAGCTACACGTTTTTGAAAACATCTAGGAACTGCAACACCTTCTTTGTGATGTGGAAAAATTCTTTTTCAAATAAAAAGTAAAATTGAAACTTAAATATACATTGATTTACTACGAAATGTGGCTTAAAATTGCTGCTGGAAACAAACAAACAAATAATCAATCAATCCATCAATTTCTACGGAATATGGCTGAAATATTAAGCAATCCCCGATACACTATAAGAAAAACATTGAGACTATTCTGCATGTTTAATCTTTCTTAGGATATAAGTATGGAGTGGTTCATTTGGCTGTTTTCCCTTGCACTAGACACACTAATAGGAAACTTATACATCTGAGACTATATATATTTCTGTGCATGTTTAATCGTTTTATGGGGTATACAGATTTTGAGTGTTTGTATTAAGATTTATTTATCATTTTTTTCCCTTGTAACTGATAATATGCTAATATTAAATGGATTATACTTTTGTAACACACTATATATATTACATTTGCAAAAAAATCAATAAAAAATTTTTATGTCGTAGAACAGGATTTTGATCCAATATGTTTGTATTAAGATTCATTTATCAATTTTTTCTCTTTCTTGTAGCTGATAAACACCATAAGAATCCATTAAATGGATAAAGAATTGTGTCGGAGGTAAGTTAGTCACAGAAGCACAAAGATATCTACTGATAGAAAAGATTCAAACCGAACATGTTTGTATGGTTCTTAAAAGAAAAATATGATAGTTTGGTTACATCAGCTCTCGATCAATGCAGTGCCTTTTTTTAACAAAATATCATAATATAATATTATATTACATGTATATATAATATTATGTAATATAATATGTTTATATCGGCCTTTATATAAATCGTCACAATATTTTTTATATGAAAGATATATATTTTAGAAACTGCAGTTTTAAATAACATTGAATATATTATGTCTATGCGAAATTTGGTTTGTATTATGTATATTATTTTACCATTAAATTAAACCAAAAAAATGTAACACAAAAGATGTGGGATTAACAATTGAACTCAAAGTTATTTAAGCACTAAATACATAACCAACAACAAAATTGACAGAAAATAGTTGTCAAAAACTTTTATGTATTTTTTGCTTGATTAAATTAACTACTTTTCCTTCTAGATTAAGTGCGGTCGGCCATTTCCAGTGATGCTGATGGATTCTTCTGTACTAAATATGTAATTGTCTTCAAATAAATATTGCAAACTAACATTATGTCGATGATTATTGACGAATATATATTTATTTAAATGAAAAGGATGACGATATAACATAGTGACTCAAGTAGTGATCTCAATTTAGTACATACATCAACGAGCAGTTGAGAATAGCTAATCCCTGTCCTTTGTTTGCAGTGGATGAAGGAAGAATATGGAGATAACAAAAAGTATACAATTTCAAAGTCCATAAAACAATACAAAATAAGAGCAGAGCAAACACGGACCCCCGAAACATCAGGGGTGGGATCAGGTGCCATGGAGGAGTGAGCATCCCCTGCCGACCGGTCACACCCGCCGTGTGAAATATGAACATAACAAAGCGTAAATTAACTCAAAAGTCAACTAAAAAGTAATGTACTAATCTGAGGCAAAGCAAACAGAAACCTCCAAAAAAACATCGGAGGTGTGATCACATGCCACAGAGAAGTAAATGTTCCTTCTCGACTTGTCCCACTAGCAGTATGCTTTATGTCATGAACAGGAAATGGGAAAATCCCTAGACAATTAAGTAAGAAAATAGCAGCCTACATATGTATCATTTTGCATGAAGAATGTCTTTCAATATTCCATTTACTAATAGATTACAACTTATTTATTCTGTATACAATACGAAAAACCGAAAAAAAATACCCCGCAAAATAATTTTTTTTTTTTTTTAAAAATTACCCCTCTTAAATGTATTCTCCTGTTCCTTTTAAAATGTACCCCGGCCCCGATTGTTTTGGAGTTGACAAAAAATTATATATTTTTTATTTCAACCTAACTGTTAATTCACATTTTCTGAGTCACAATTGGAAAAGGCACCTCAAAAATCCCTCACTGCTTAAATGGCTCAAATTGTCCAGAATAGGTCTAAATATGCAGCAAGTGGTGGTGTCCGATCATAGTAGAAAAGTTCTCAAAAGAATGTTAAAAACAAACATTAAAATAATGGGGAAAGCAATTTATAATATACTGTCTTTAGTGTTTGCATTGGCCTTATCTTTCACTCACATAATGATGAGAGCTATTCATCTTTATCTTCATTTTATCATCTTGACTTCATTCAAATATGCATGTGGATGACAACAATTCAAATGTGACATGTTATTCTCACTTAAACTTTCTGTCATGCATTTCTGACTTGAACTTTTCATTTTTACAAAAAATGAAAAGAAAACTAGTAAACTAATTGTTCAGAGAACAATGAGACGTCTTTCCACCTTTTTAAGTGTTTCAATGTCATTTGGGCTGAAAAAAGTAGGAAAAAAGCAAGAAAATAAATAAAACAGCAAAATTCTCATTTCTCTACTAGGAGTTTAGATCGGGCTCGCAGTTGGTATAAATATATTCTGAACAGACTTCCTGGTTTATACGAGTCGACTCGGGGATAAGCACGAATTCATTGATCACGCAAAGAGAGCACATAAAAAACATTGTAATGAGATTGTTTTCAAGTTAAGATGTAAGAGGTAGGGACTGATTAAAATTATGATATACCTATTAATATGAATAACATGCATTTGATCTGCGCATCAAGACGGAAGCGTAAGTGAAAATGTTGTGAAATGTCCCATGTGTACCTGCATCATATTTTCATGATACATGTATTAAAGAGATGTTTGAAAATATCCGATTTGAGTTGTTTTGTGTTTGAAATGGATGGCGATGAATTATTTAAGAGCATGTGAGAAACATAGCGAGAGATGCAAGGCAGTTTGTAATTATGGAAAAGGAATACAGAGAATCGGGTTCGGGTTTTAACATTCCTGACCGAAATAGACATGAAATTCAATGTAAGTAGCATAAATAAAATTCCAAACATGTAATTCTAGATGGGAAACACAGGGAATAAACGTGTATTTCTTTTTACTATGCTGAAAGTCGCTATTTCTTGGGATTGCGTTATTCTAGGGGGAAAAAAAATCAAATTTCAGATGAAATCATGATTCATTCCATTAATATTAAATCCAAATAAAATTGAAATATATTCCATACACCAAAGAACGCAAGAATACTTGGCATTAAAATGTCGTAATAGAGCAGGAGAATCGAATGATAGTAACAACAATTGCAGAAATAGCCAATACGGGCTTTAATTAATTTTTATACTCAGCAATAACTAAATTTTAGACAGAAAAAAAATGCAGATTTTGCCGATTTTCACTAGAATTTCATTATATTTCAGAGACTCACCTTAAAACTCTCAGGACACTTTCTTTAAGGTCTCTTCTTGCTTTTACTCCGAATCTTATGTCGATATATCGTGACTTTTGACTTGTAGACATTTTTTCTATGCTGCTGTTGTTTTGTTTCTTTTTTTTTTTAAAAGAGGGGGGGTGAGGGTATAAGCATTTGTTAGAGTAAGAGTTGCAAATACCTCAACGACCTTAAGCTTGATTGAGACCTTTGGGTCAATAGGAGGTCAAAGGTCAAGGTCATTTATCAAGGTCAAAGGTCAAGGTCATCAAAAAAAGAGAGAAAAGAGAGAGATAAACTTGAAATTAACACTTGAAGCTGAATGTAGATAAAGGTAATAAATATTTCTTTATTACTTTTTGAGTAAGGGGTCAAAGGTCAAGGTCAAACATCAAGGTCAAAGGTCAAGGTCATTTGGATTTTAAGCTTAAATTGACAATTTCTTTAGTTTTTAAATGACCTTGACCTTTGACCTTGACCTAATCTTCAAGGTCAAAGGGCAAAAGATCTCATGCAGTTGGGCCCATGTCTTTGCGACTTGTCGTTAAGAAGTTTTTAGTTCTTCGTAAACATCATAAACTGGCAGGGACAATTACTACTTAAAATGGTTTACGAATTCTTTCGCACTAATAGAATGAGAAGTGTACAAAGTTAGTCGCAGACATTGTTGAAGGTTTTGTACCTCTACGGTTTACGGTTACCGAGGAGTAGCGATAACAAGGGTTTACACTGAAAGGGGCACTAACTTTTAGAGGGTTCAATCTTAGGGGTCAAGCATGGAATCTCTAAAATGGTTTCAAGAGTACATACTAAAAAATGCAAAGATGGTGAGAATTTGATTAAGAACAAAAGAGCTTTAAAAAATGCTTAATTTTACATATTTTGAATGACCTTGACCTTTGACCTTGACCTAGATTTTATGGTCAAAGGTCAATAAATCTTTTACAGTTGGTCCCATGTCTCTACACCTTGTCGTTTTAGAAAAGTTCTTGATATTCGTAAACATTGCAAACATTCAGGGGCAATAATTCATTATAGGAGTTTACGAATCCTTTCGCAATGTTTGATTGGAGAGTCTACTAAACCAGTCGTAAACAATAATAAAGGTTTGGAATCTCTGCGGTTTATGGTTTCGGAGAAGTAGCGATAACAAACATTTCTTGCGAAAGGGGCAATAACTTCAAAAGGGGTCAAGGTTCATTTACGCAGGGTGAACTGCAATAATCTTTTACGGAGTACATTCCTATGGACTATAAATCTTTTCGATATATCTTCAAACAAAAAAACATGCGGCGGAAAAATAATAAAAAAAAAGAATAACTAGGAGACTTATTGTTCACAGAACAATAAGAGGTCTTTCCACCTTCTCTGAATTTCAATTTTGTTGTATATTTGACTCCTTAAAATTAAATTCCATGAATAAGAAACCAAAATTGTGTAAAAAAAAAGAAAAAATGAAAATAAAAAATTGAAATGAACTTGACCTTTGACCTTGAAAAAATATTCAAGGTCAAAGGTCAAGGGTTACAATGCAGTTGACCTTATGCTCCTACCACTTATAGTTTTCAAGTTATAAGGTTTAATAGTAAGTACAAAGACGTTAAAGGGCGATAACTCATAAAGGTGTCATCAGATCCTTTCGCATTTATACAGTGAAGTTATGCCTCAAGACCCTTAAGACATTAGTGAAGGTTTGGTGTCTCTACGGTTTACGGTTTCGGAGGAGTAGCGATAACAAGGTTTTTCGCACAAGGGGCAATAACTTTTTTAAGCGTTAATCTTAGGGGACAAGAATTGAATACTTGAAATAGTTTTAAGAGTACATATAAATGATGCAAAGACATTAAGTATATGTTGAAAGACAAAAGAGATATAAAAAGACCTTAATTTCTCCTTTTTGGAATGACCTTGACCTTTGGCCTTTGCATAAATTTTATGGTCAAAGGTCAGTGAAGCTTATGCAGTTGGTCCGACTTCCCGTTTTGAAAATTTTTAATTATTTGTAAAATTTGAAAAGTTTCAGGGGCAATAATTCAATGAAGGGGTTTACAAATCCTTTTGTAATGTTAGAGTGAAGAGTGTTCTTTATTACTCAAAGACATTGGTAAAGGTTTCAAACCTCTGCGTTTTACGGTTTCAGAGGAGTAGCGATAACAAGTTTTTAAGTGTAAGGGGCAATAACTTCAAAAGGGATCAAAGATCAAACTTCTTGGGTCGTTTTTCGGAATAACTTTAAATATCCAGTATCATGAACTATTAAGTATTTTGATAAGTCTTGCGGTTTCAAAAGTTAAGGGAAGAAAAAGAATAATAAACATACGCATTTCAAGAGGTCTTTCCACAGAAAGGTGGAAAGACCTAATAAACAGAACAATTTCAATAGGTCTTTCCACAGAAAGGTGGAAAGACCTAATTAATCAGAGCAGTTGATATTTTATTTACACACATTGACAATATCATCTAATCTTTTCTATATGTGTCAGGGTCTGACAAATCCCATTGCCCGACTCCAGGGGCTAGTGACATTTAGGGTTGGGCAAGTGAAATTTTATCTACCACTTGTCCACATTCATGTGACTTAAAATGAAATTAATATCCAAATGTGAGTCATAGATTTAAAGCTGAACACAAGGGCTGGCATGATCTACGCAGTATTTTTCTTGAAATATATATGAATACATTAATTTTATAAATGGTGTGGCAAGCAAAAAAATTTAGGTAGGGCTAGTGAATTTTAACTGTGCACTTGCCCTTGAACAAATGCTAAAAAAGATCTGTCAACCCCTGTTTACCAATGACTTTTCCTTATAAT